TCTGGCTATATCCAAAGTTCAGATTTCGATTCCTGAAATTTGTTAAAATATGTGCATATTTAATGAGATAATGGATAATTTGCATATTTAAACATGCTATTTCAGAAAAACTTGTAATACAAAAGACAATTGCCTTATTGTAAGTAATTAACTGGAGAAATTTCTAGCTGATACCTTTAAGTTAAAAAAATTACCCTATTCGCCTTAAGTTTAAAAAAAATGTGTGTTTTCTTCTAACACAGAATTGAACGCCTCTGGCGTGATGTGTTCATGAGTGTTACGGGTGTCTTTTACAACACCCTGCACTCTCTTGAGGAACAACAGCTGCTTGACATCAGTAACGTCCTGCACATCTTCTGCTGCCACTACGTTTTCTTGCCACGCATCCAAGCCAACCTGGATGTGTTCAGTGAGGCCTGGGCCAACCATCCCATCAGGACAGAGCAACATCTGACACCCAATCAGTTGTGGCAGGTGGGCCAGCACCTGAATCCTGTTGCAGATCCTGAGCCTGAGGTAAATTATGAATTTTCAAAACCATCACTATCTCTTGTTTATTATCAATCAATAAAAACCCAAACAGTATAATAAGTTATCTGATTCATAATCTAACTCCCCTTCTTGGATTAAAAGAACCTCTGCTGGGAGCAAGCAAGAACACTTTTCTATAATATTACACTATTACCTTAACATTATTCCACAATCACTCCATTTTTTATTGTTATAGAACAATTGCATACCCTCTTTATTTCGCCTGATCACATATTTTGTAATAAGAAGCAGTAATGGCACAGTGCTTGCTTTAATATTTGTACACTCACTTTGTCTTTTTTAGGGTTCACCAGAGATTCAATGGGAAGAGAGTGGATACACAAATGAGCATCATACCGGGGTCAATGTCCCTACGCTGAACTTCCCTCTCTCAGACCTTGAAATTATGCAACTGCAAGACAACATTGATCCATTTGAAGAATCTGAATGTTTCGGAGTGGACATATATCTGAATACTGTCCAATACATTGAGAACTTAATTGAGCACCGATAGTTGTTACATTTAACAACTATAGTATGATTTGTGTCATGATTTCAGTTATTTGACAATGATGGAAAGTTAATCATTTTATATTTACATAGCTTATGCTTGATTAAGTTAATCTCAATTGCATGATTAGACATTTTTCTTTTGACTTATAATTGGAAAATAAATTAATGGAAGTGTTTTTAGAGATGCATTTTCAGTCAGGATCAAAAACCGTTTCAGAGCAACAGAATTACATTCATTTTACACTCTGTACAAAATAAAAACATTGTAAAAGAACTATTCGGAGTGTACTGCTTTACTGTTCAAGGGATTGGGCATTGTTAAAGTGTAACAATGATAATGGACACAGTCTTTTTCCAAATGTCCTTTATTTATAAAACACGGTAGGTGTACCAACTGTAACCCTGTATCTCACACAGTGTATTGAATAGAGAGGCAAATCCTTCTCCAGAAAAATACAAAACAAACTGAGTCAGTCACAAGCCCAAAGCCTGAACTGATGGAACTGAGGGCCATCATCAAGTCCTGGTGGAACTTCTCATAGGTTTGGTAGTGGCTTGGGAGCTTCAATTTTAGGAAGCAGGTGAGAGCCACTGGGTATTTTGAAGTAACAACCTCAACTTCAAGGTTTGTTGTGAGCAGCTCCCACTCGACCCAGAACTTCAAGAGGTCACGCAGTACCTTCGGAGATGCTATGGGAGAGAATTTGTTATGTATGCGATACCTCAAATTGCATTATATCAAAACATAAATTTGAGCAGTAAAACTTGCAGGAATATCAACGGTTAACCCATGCATAGATTTGTATTTGTGTATATTATCTCTTCAGCTGCACTACAGCTTTAGCAGTCATTACACTTAAGTAACTAGTTTAAAATAGAGATGTAATAAAAAGTGTTACCTTCCTCTATGAATTGCCTCAAAAATCCAGTGACGAGACCGACTTTCTCCAATGGAACGGCGTCGTCCTCATCGCCGTCACTTTTGGGCTGTGGCCAGTGGATGTTCTGGATCACAGTCTATAGGGGATCAAATACAAACGTGTTCTTTGCTAAGATTGAAGCTCATGTTATATGCTACAGAATTATCTTATCATTGTAAAGCATTGATTTAAGATCTACACACCAGTTTAAGAGCCCCACAAATGAAATTGCATGATAGTGTTTGCAAACAAATCCCTTGAATAACATAAATCCAATAAAGAAAATGGTACTTACCTGTGAGTTCAGCTCATCATTTTTCTCTCTTGGAAATAATATGGGGTGGACATCTGGCCTATTTGAAACAAGCGGCCAGATTCCCGTTTCTTTAAGGCCTTTGCGAATCTGCTTGATAGGCTGCCTAACACGGTGAAGTACCTACAAGTAAAAGGAACAATCAAACTGAGGCACTAATGGAAAAACACCACAGTAGCAGATACAGGAGGACTTACAAAGCAAACCTACTAATTACCTAAACATTGTATTGTTTAAATAAAAATGGTACAATATAAAATGATTACTGCATGGGAAAGAAGTTCCTGGAACAGCCAGTCATGATTGGTGGAGGTTGGAACAGGGAGGTCCCAGGACAGGCAAAGATCAGTCACACTGGTGGTTTCTTGAGCAGTAAGTTATGTATTCTTGAGCTAAAACAGGAGAAAAGAGGACATCATTTAAATGCATGCAAAATTGTGTACGGCAGTCTGCAAAAGTGGACAAAAAGCCTACATCTGGAAAAATCTAAATGGGACACAAAAAAGCATTGGAAATCATTTCTAGCTAAACAGCCCAGCCTTGACGCATGAATGGAATCTTTTTCATAATGCACAAGATGACAAGTGTATGTATAGCATTGTGGTGCAGTGGTGTATGACATGTCACTTTTTAACTAGGACACTCACAAAACCAATTGTTTCACGGTGGTCAAGATCAGGACAGTCCAGCAGGGTAAGCGCTGATGCTGCAGTATCCGTGCTCCCACCAGTCAACAGAGTCACTACAGGCACACTTAGTCCTGAGAAACCAAAACCACCATGCAGGAAGGAATGGCCTATCATCCGACCTGCCATCTCAAACAGGTTGCTTTCCCGAAGCACAGCAGCTGCGGAGGGAACCCGATGTTCCATTTCGCCTTCAAAAAGGCTTGTAAGAGCTGCACAGCCTTAAGAAAAAAGGAGAAATAGTTTAGACACCATGTATTGCTATAACGTAATTTTTAGGTCAAGCTATATTGAGTGTTGGTTCAACTGTGAATATGCATGTTGTAATCTTTGTTGGTTTATTAAGATTTAGCTGCAAGTGGTTATTTCAATTGAAAGACAAATGGGGACATCCCCCCTAAATTTATACTGAAGCCGGTCTTCAGTTTCTGCATGGCCATTGACAAAACGTGTCAGTTGACACCTTGGCCGACTGCTGCATCCCCTTGAAAAGACGACCTCATTTAGAAAAGTACAACCAACAAGATGATATTCAACATACACTTACCAAGAGACAACATGAATCATCCTTCAAGCTTTCAATACAATAAATGTAACTAGTTATTTATTCCCTGGTCTAAGGGACATGAACTTAATCCTCAACATGCAAGTAAAAACAAACAAAAAGGCAAAATTTGACCCAGATGACAACCTATAATCAAACATGAGAAGTTACACTATTTATTAATACCTCTCAGCCTGCACTTCAATGGAGCTGCCCAGTTAACATTGTTCATTTTAAAGAATGAAATCAATGAACTGTCCGTTTCTTCTTCTGCATCAAACAAGTCGATTGACAGAAAGAGGCGTGGACATTCATAGTTACGTTCCAGCAGTTCCTCTCTGAACAACTGACATGCCTTCCAGGGGTCCACTTCATTGGCCCATGCTGAAAATGTAATTTGAAGGGAAAAAAAGTGGTTGGTACAATAAACTTCATAATATGTCAGCTTCAATTCTAAAATAGTACTTCATTTATTGTCTCATTTAGTAAGCCCTGTATTTTAAAGCAATATATTAAAAGGTAGTAACTTGAAATCAATTATCCTTTCCATATTACTGGATCAAACATGTAACAACATTCATTTTGGTGTTCATTGCTATTTAAGTGTTTGTGAGTAGTCACTGTTTCAAACTACACCACAGCAGTAATTGTTCTGAATAAATAACCTGCTGAAACTGTTGCTGGCAATCGTTGAACTGAAGGTCCTGGCATTTCCTCTGTCCTTGTCATTCTGGCTGCATTGCTATGATGAGCAGGGTCCATTCTTGGAAAAGACAAAACAAAAAACATACTCACAGGAATGGAAAATAGAGACTAGTGAGTGCCCTTCTTTTTTTACATATTTCTTCTTGCATATCAAACAAAGTAATTTAAATCAGATCCCTAATAAGTATTTCGGCTCTGTTATGATTTCTACATCTACATTTCCTAAAAATGCATCACATGCTCTGATGCAGCTGCTATAGCTGTAACATTACAGCATTTTAAAACACAAAAAAGGAACAAGCACATTCACCAAACGATATCGTTATTAGGTTTGACACTTTGTATATGTTGTTCACCTCTCTCAAAACATGTCTATCTTCCATCTTTTGCTTGAACAAGTCAAAACGTCTTACCCTTCACCACATGTGCTTGCATGAAATGAGAGGACATCAATTGGGTAAGATTCAAGACATATAGGGCAAACCTGTAAAAAACATAAACAAATGTCAATACCTTTAAAACATATCACATTATTATAAGAAAGGTTTTATGTTTAATAATTCTCTCTCAGATAAGTGATACAGGAAACATTATTCTATGATAAAAAATGAGTACATAGACAGTGTGCAAAAAGTCAGTTTGGTGAAATGTGTTATACCCTACCTATGTACACACCTGCAATCATTCTGTCATTATTTACTGAAAACAATAAGGCTTTTATACTAAATTGCAAAGTAACTTTAACAGGAGAAGACAGCATCAACTACCTCTGACAATTCTCCCATCCCTGGATTTGGCTGCTCAATCACTTCATCAAGAGAAGTCCCAGATTCACTCTCCTAAAAAACAAAAAAGGTACAGAGAATTGGTTCTATAGACTTTGAAACAGTCATTTGAGCAAACTAAAACATTACATATGTATTTGAGAAATGAGAGAAATGTTTTAATAACAGCTTACAGTCAATATGTCATTACATTCCTCCACATGTAAAGGCAACAGCTGCAAAGGCATTTGACTGCCACATGTTATGCAGGTTGACTGTGGCATCTTTGCAAACTCTGCCGAGTCATAGGGTAGAGGTTCGGTAGAAAGTTGCTCCTGTAGTGGAATTACAAACACAATGTTTTTTTCCGTTGTTGGACGCTGTTTTGAGGAGCCTTGTGGAGTACCCCTCGGAGTCAGTAGGAATTATGGACAGCTTTCGACGTCCACTACCACCTATTTTAAAATAAAAATAGGAACAACACAAGTGTGCTTTAAAACCACCTGACAGTACATTAATATTAGGGATATACGTTACACTTTGTCAGGCAAACTTTAGTACTGTTTTATACAACTTGAAGAAGTGATATGAATGGTAATTCAAAGTAGGGCGACAGAAAACACATATGTGGGGCTTCTGAGTGTGACAAACACAACACAGCATTTTCACCAATGGAGATGAGAACAATATTACCTGCTGACTTGAAAAACATCCAGCCTCCTTTTAATGTTTTCAGTTTTGGAAATTCTTCCTCAACCGAAGCCATAGTCTTTAAAACAAAGTGAAATAACATACAATATTCAGTAAGTGATTCACATTTTAAATCATTGAGACATCTTTAATACTGTTTATATGATTACCTCACTGTGCAATAAGTTGTCTGGTAGATTTAGCATCCTCTTTCCAAGGCCAGCATGGGCAAGTGGTAGCTCTTCCGAGCCCTTAGGTGTAAACTGACTGGGTCCCGAAAGGACATATATGTGAAAGTCCGTCCGTTTGACGATGCAAGGAGCCGGGGTGGGAAATCGTCTTTTGCCTCTTGGCTGATCAGTACTGATAGCAGAAGCACCTAATAAGAATGGGTGATCGTTAGACAGACAACGCTAGCTAATGTTAGCTTATGGAGCTCAGCTACAACACAGTTAAGCTAACCAAAACAGTTCTATATAATTCTCGAATTAAACAACTAACAACTAAGCAAAACCAATCCTTCATAATTTAGGAGTATTTCATAATTTAAACATAATTTACACTTGGAGCGGGAGGCGCGCGACCACCAGACGCCATTTTACAGATGACCTCTGACCTGTCAGCTCCGGACTGCGCAAAAAGCGTAAATGAAGCGCTACGTCACGAACGCAATAAATCCTACCCTTGTGGGGGCGCGCTCATGTGATTGGCTTAGACTGGAGGAGACATCTGATTGGCTATAGATGAGAGAAATTAACAAGTACGAATCGGGTGAGCGTCAGGGGAGTCTCAAAAAACCCACACACGAATGCATAGCGATCTGTGCACAGAAAGCGGTTTGTGTTTGCAGGTTCAGAGGATTTAAACGGAAAACTAATATGTGTGGATCAAAAATACAACATGTACAACTTTTTTCTGTATTTGGATTTTATTTACATGTATATGAAACGGAACACATTTGTGTGTGCATTGAAAAACACAAGTGTGGATCCTTTTGCGGATCATGAAATACAAGTGTGAATCCTTCTGTGTGCATGTGTGTATTATGAGACTGTTCTAAGCCCATACTAATCACATCTCCCCTGGATGTTAGGCTATTTTTTTTTTAATACAACTGCTTTCATTGTGAGGCGATGTTTACAGTGAGAACAGCTGCTGAGGTCAGTAAAGAAAGCAGAACAGTGTGTATAATATATATTGCTCAATAGTATGTAACAGGCCTACATTTCACACTTTATTTGTAGGCTTTAGGAGATATCTACAAATAAACTTTAGGGTTAGGGAATGTATAGGTGTCTGTTGTAATGAATATGCCGCCAGCAAAGGGCGTTGTTGGACTAACAGTAGGTGTGTGTGTGTGTGTGTGTGTGTGTGTGTGTGTGTGTGTGTGTGTGTGTGTGTGTGTGTGTGTGTGTGTGTGTGTGTGTGTGTGTGTGTGTGTGTGTGTGTGTGTGTGTGTGTGAGTGAGAGTTGATGTGCCAGGCAGACAGACAGGTCTCAGTAGCTTATCTGACATATAATTGGTCAAACATTTTACATTCTCCGTTAGCCTACGAGCTCCCCGTTTAATTTAATTTAATTTCAAACCTTTATTTATGCAGGTGAATCCCATTGAGATCATTGATCTCTTTTTCAAGGGTGACCTGCTGCAAGTAGGTTCCGCATGAATACATATAAACAAAACTTAAAAACAAAAAGGACATCATACAGCATATTTACAGGGACTACAGTTTACATAGCTAGTAACATTTACAGGTTCCAACAGTTTCCGATTGGATAGCATCTATCCTTGCTTTAAAAACATTTAGTGGAACCAAATTGCTCAGCTTCCATTCCTTTTGTAGACTGTTCCAAGACAGAGGAGCTGCGCATCTAAAAGCTATCTTCCCTAAGACAGTCCTAGCAGTTGGCACATTTAATAAAACCACAGCATTCGATCTCAGGCAGTAGCCACTTATAATTCGCCGTGAGATCAGGGAGCAGATGTAGGATGGAAGTTTCCCTAACATACCTTAGGGATATACGCGTCCCCCGTAGCGACATTAACTACCAGTCGCGGTAAGCCAAATGTACAGAATGGATAAAATGGATAAAATGTACCCGGGAATAGTGCCTCATAATGCAGGTAGACTCCCCTGCTAACTACCCTTGCATTCCTCCACAGGCTAAATAAGTATAAGTGAACTTTTGGAAGAACCAGAGAAAGGGGTTAAAATAATAAGATTTGACATGGGCAAACAGGCTATTTCAGACTTCCATGACATACACCGGGAAAACCACCTCACTTTGGCCGCTCACAGAGACCCAAAACACGGACTACAGACCTCCAGCATATCTACCTGACATGCGTACTTCCATAACCTCGCGCACCTTGGGACCCCGGGCCCCCGCACTTAAGCACTCCCCCACGGACTAAACCCAGATGATTACACATTCACAGCAGCAGCACCCACCCTCCTATGGAGGATATTCTCATGGCCCTGGTAACCTATCAGGGGGTGTATTTTGCGGTGCTTTACAGTCCGCCCATCGGACACCATAGTCGGACTTATTCACAGCAGCACCACCCACCCTCCTGTGGAGGATGTTCTCATGGCCCTGGTTACCTATCAGGGGGTGTATTTTGCGGTGCTTTACAGTCCGCCCATCGGACTCCATAGTCGGCCTTATTCACAGCAGCACCACCTGCCCTGCTGGAGGTTCACACTTTAACTTATTTTACCCTCCGCTGCCTTACACATCCTCCCACATTTGAGCACTCCTCACGTGGACTAAACCCCTTCATGCACACCACCAGAACCTCGTGCCCCTGGGGATCTTAATGGGGAATCACCCATATTGGGTTATAAAAAAGAGGACAAATTAAGTAATTTTAACAAACTTTATTTACAGAAATATATACATTGACACTTTATAACATTATAACATTATTAACTCATCCAGCACAAGCGGACTGAGTACAACAAAACATTGCATATTTACAAGTTGATCACTGGCAACATTGTCCGTATCGGGTGAAGTTGGTGCAGAGGCTGGCACCCTCTCTTCACCCGTGTCTGAGGGACTGTGTTCGGCCATTGACTGTTCCCTCTTCGCCGCTCTCCAAGCGTTGAAGTCTTTGTATAATTCATCTGACGTCTCGGTATCGGTGGAGTCTTGGTAGGGAGTAGGGCTATGCTCATCTCCAGAGCTGTCACGGTCACTGTGGATGTCAATGTCCCCCAAATTGTCTTCACTCACCCCTGATGCTGCTGCGGCCGCTGCTTGCAGTGACTCTGTGAAGAGCATTCGTATGTCCGCAGCCTCCTTCAAAGAAGGATTCTTGGCATAAAATTTGTCTGCAGTTGCAGTGTTGTGACACATGAAATCACTCACTCTTTGGCGGTTGCTTATGTCCTGAAACCTCTTCGCATTATCGGCGTGGACTGTGCGGAGGTCGGTGAAGTTAATGGGACCTTTTAGTCCAACATCAGCCCATGCCAACCTCAGGAAGGTTGCAAGGTTCCTCGATGGGTTCTTCCCCGCTATGCAGAGGAAGTAGCGGTTGTTGGTGCCGGTCAGCGTCCCCTTGATTTCCAGCCACCTTTTCATCCATCCAAATTATTCTATGGTGAGATACATCTGCGCTTCCCCGAACGCGTTGGCCGTCTTGTGGTTGCTTACCTGTTATGACAGAGTTAGAGAGCGTCAATACAAGTATCAATCATCCACAACATGTGTATCACTGCCAGAATAAACACATGTTTTAATAGCTCACTCACGTGGATGAGGTGGCCAAAGGCAGTGCCAGTTATCTCCGCCTTTAGGACCTCCGTGTTGGTCATGTTGGAGTAGACCCCCGGACGGTGCCCATAAATGCAGCTCCAATTGAGGGTCATGTACCCATAGAGCAGGCTCCGGGTTGCGTGAGTCGGGTTGCTGGTCATCACGTCCAGGAGCTGAGGGATGCGAGTTTTGGCCGCAGTCAAACATGCCATGATGTCTTTATGGCTTGGCAGACCTTCCATCTTGTCCCGCTTCACCTGCATCTGGTGGATAAACACCTTCTTTCTCATGGACTTCAGGATGGCAGCAACTTCCCGTGTGATTAAAATCATGTCATTCTGGTTGAGCCTGCTCCCCTTGCATGGTGTTTCATTCATGTACTTGAGAAAGTGTGATATATTTTTGATATAGAAGTCAGATGTCGTGACCTGTAGGCTTGACTTTATCAGGCTCCGGGACCACCCACGTATCCTCTTCAGATCCCTCAAAAAGAGCCAGTCAGACAGGCGATTGAAACCGTGTGCCATGAAGCTTAGGAATGATTTGACTCTGCTTATTTTGGAGACTGCGTTTTCTTGGAGCCTCACTGTTGGATCGATGCCCTCATAATGGTCCCGGTAGCCTTGCAGATACTTCTCCATGATGCGTGGGAATGTAATGTCCCGCATTCGATTCCCCCGGCCCCTGCCGCTGAACCAGGGGGAATGTATGGGAGGGGAGGATGACGAGGCCTCGGTATCTATGGATGCAGGTTCTGAGGAGCTGGATACAGGTGTGTGAGAGGCAATGGGGGACTTCCTGCAGGAGGGACCTTTGGACTTGGACAGCCTCTTTGGTGTTGACTCCGTTCGGGATCGTTTCCTTAGAAACACCCGCTCTTGGTCCTCGGCCCTCTGGTTCATCCTCTTTCGGTTACGTTGAATCCTCTGCTGCAGCATGCAGCGCAGGGATTTCACCTCAGCAGCATATATGTCCCTCTGAGCCTTCATTCTGTTTGCATCCATCCTCCATTCCTTACAGTCCGGGTTGTCACATGTAATCACTGGGGACAAGGGTGGAGGTTGTGACAGGACATCATCACCCACAGTGTCAACATCCCAAGAGGTAATCATTGCTACTCTGGGGTTTGTCAAACTGAGTTCATGAAGCTTCTTTGTGGCCACTTTCATTTTTAGTTTAGTTAAAACCACATGTAATTCCTGCCGGGACAGCTCAACATGGTTTCTGTACAAGTGGCGGTCCAGCCTTGTCCCGTTGTACTCGCATCCTGCAATAATGCAGGGATGGAGCCTAATGTTTATCCGTCCTTTCGCCAACAACAGCAGAATTCTTCTTTCCACTAAATTACGCACACTATGGTTCCTCAGCAGGTGCTTGCTCAGGGCACGGTAGGGACTATTACAGATAGGACAACCGATCGCCATCATTTTTGTATGCCTGAGCATTTCGGTACCGGGAAGTGTCACCAGTATAATGTATAGAACCGGGGGGGACAAAGAAGGATAGGTGAAAATAAGAAAGTTGCACTCAGCGAACTAGAAAGACCCCATGTCAAATCTCTCCGGTTTATTTTCAATAAATAACCCATTTGCATCATCGTGCGAAAGGTGTCCCATTTAGGCACTCGTTAGGCGGGCAGAGATCCCTGTCATCTATCGGTCCTATCATCCAGGCAAGGCGGGAGCCAAAACTGGGTGAAATAGTGCCTCCTAAGGCGGGTCGAGTCCCCTGGCAACTCCCCTTACTTTCTTCCGGAGACCAGTTCAAAACGTTAAGTTTGGTAGAACCATGATTGGGGGTCATCCAGGCAACAAGTGTATCCGATCCAAAGTAACTCATGCAGCGGATGCATTCTTCCATGATCCAGAGACGGGTGCAACCAGAGAACCAGAGAAAGAGGTTAAAATGGATAAAATGTATCCGTGGAATAGTGCCTCCTAAGGCGGGTAGAGTCCCCTGACAACTCACCCTACCTTCCATCCGAGTCAGAAAAAGTTAAAGTTAACTTTTGGAAGAACCGCAGAAAAGGGGTGAATGGTGAAAATGTGTCCGGGAATAGTGCCTCGTAAGGCAGGGTAGAGTCCCCTGGACAACTCCCCTTAGCATTCCTCCAGAGTCAGAAAAAGTTCAAGTTAACTTTTGGAAGAACCGCAGAAAAAGGGGTGAAAATTGGTGAAAAGGGGTCCGGAAATAGTGCCTCATATGCAGGTAGAGTCCCCTGGCAACTCCCCTTGCATTCCTCCAGAGTCCAGAAAAGTTAAAGTTAACTTTTGGAAGAACGCAGAGAAAGGGGTGAAATTGGTGAAAAGGTGTCCGAAATAGTGCCTCATAATGCAGGTAGAGTCCCCTGGCAACTCCCCTTGCATTCCTCCAGAGTCAGAAAAAGTTAAAGTTAACTTTTGGAAGAACCAGAGAAAGGGGTGAAATTGGTGAAAAGGTGTCCGGAAATAGTGCCTCATAATGCAGGTAGAGTCCCCTGGCAACTCCCCTTGCATTCCTCCAGAGGCCAGTTCAAAAACTTAAAGTTCTGTAAGAACCGTGATTGGGGGTCCTCCAGGCAACAATGTGTCCGAAAATAGTGTCTCGTGATTCCGTCGAAACTCCCCTTGCATTCCTCCAGAGGCCAGTTCAAAAACTTAAAGTTTTGTAAGAACCGTGATTGGGGGTCCTCCAGGCAACAATGTGTCCGAAAATAGTGTCTCGTGATTCCGTCGAAACTCCCCTTGCATTCCTCCAGAGGCCAGTTCAAAAACGTAAAGTTTTGTAAGAACCCTGATTGGGGGTCCTCCAGGCAACAATGTGTCCGAAAATAGTGTCTCGTTATTCCGTTGAAACTCCCC